CCCCACACCGCTTGGACTGCCCTGCCTTGGCCACAATGGACACTTCAAGTGCTTGGCCTGCTGATGCTGTTCCCCCCCCCCGTGCAAGCCCACCTTTGTCACGTCTCCCTGTTTGCCACCTGCTCTGCCACGTCACCTAAACACTGTTCATCGTGGCCAAGAAAGAGCTTCCCAAGCCCACCATCCTGCTAGCTGGAGAAAGCTGGCAGAAAAACAGCAGCCAAGGCTTCCTCAGGCGGCCGCTCCTGAGTCAAGGCCAGTCCCTGGTAAAGGCTCTCTGGCCCAGCTGTGGGGACCTGGACCTGTCCTTCTGACCTCTTCCAGACCCAGAAAGGCACAATGGGGCATGTGGGCCGGCCGGAAGAGGGAAATCCATGGCTAAACCCTCCCTGCCAGGTGATCATTCAACCTCTACTTGAAAGCAGCATAGAAGTGGAAGGAAGGAAGGAAGGAAGGAAGGAAGGAAGGAAGGAAGGAAGGAAGGAAGGAAGGAAGGAAGGAGCTGGTGGTGGGTGGAAGGAAGGGACAAGAATCCAAAGAGAGAGAGAGAGAGGGAGGGAGGGAGGGAGAGGGGGCGGGGAGAGAGAGAAATAAAATACATAAATATGTATAAAACCCATCTCAAGGGACTCAGTATTAGCCAACGCTACTTAGGCCATTATCAAATGTAAAACTCTGCCATAATTGTGCTTGTTCTGCTGTAATTCCCAGCTATATTTCCTTCCTAACTAGCCAATGCCACTTTACAAGCCCCATTGGAGATTAGAGATATTAATTACTATATTGTTCATCTTTGTTATCTATAGCCTGGGATTAATTTAGCCACCAGTCATGGTCATTGTTTACAGAACAATGCTTCCTGGGTGGGGAACTGAACATCAACAGGGGGCTTAAAGGTCATGGGCAGGTGTGAAACACAACACCATCAACAACTGTTGATCTCTTTTTGGGGGGCCAGGTACAAATGTATTGGTCTTTGTCTCAATGTAAAACTCTGCCATAATTGTGCTGTATCTGCTGTAATTCCCAGCTATATTTCCTTCCTAACTAGCCAATGCCACTTTACAAGCCCCATTGGAGATTAGAGATATTAATTACTATATTGTTCATCTTTGTTATCTATAGCCTGGGATTAATTTAGCCACCAGTCATGCCTTCCTAACTAGCCAATGCCACTTTACAAGCCCCATTGGAGATTAGAGATATTAATGTGTGTGTGTGTGTGTGTGTGTGTGTGTGTGTGTGTGTACCTGACGGAGTACAATTCTGCTTGCACTCAAGGAGATGCATGTTTCCACCTGGGGAAGAGGAGAGGAGGAAACCGGAATTCCTCCAGGTTCTTAGGTCGTCCCTTACCTCCTGCAACCTGTGCCAGCCTTCCTTCCGCCTTAGATGGTTCTTTTCAGGGGTGCTCTTTTCACTCCCTTCCTTCTTACACCATTTCCGTTCCTCCAAGGAGGAGTCATTCCTGCCTTTGGTCTCTGGAAGTCAAAGGGGCAACCAGGGCTCCCGACATCTCCAGCTTCGTTGGCTAAAAGCAAGACTTCTCCTAACACAAGTGTGTTTCTCTAAATAAATGAAAACTTGTTTTCTTGGCAAGAAGTGCGGGTGTGATTCCTTTACACCAGGGGAATTGTGCTCAGGTCACTATTCCAGGTTTCAAAAAAGGCTGAACCCACAAACTAATGTTGTTCCTTTACTGCTGGGGGCTTGTTCTCTAACATGGGAGGGGGTCCCAACTCCTTTGGCACCCCAGAGGTTTGGGACTACACCCGCCCATCATCTCTGGCCACTGGTCAGGGTCCCCTGAGACTCTTCGTCCACCGTGACTGGAGGGTCAGCCAGCGCTTCCCTCTGCCTTCGCTTCTGGGCACGTTTGATTCCAGGCCGATCAAGACGCCTGCTTTGATCAACCAGACGTGATTCAGAAGCCAAGGATTCTGAAGTTTTTACGTCTTCTCTCTGCCTGCTTTCATCCTGCCTTCCGGCTGAGAGATAAGCCCTCAAGGCAGCCGCCAGCAAAGATTTCAAGACAGAATAATTTATGTCAAAACCCAGAAGAAGACAAGAACAGGGACGAGGGGGACTCGTGCCCCCAAAGAGCAGAACTGCTGTGGACGGGAGGGTGGGCCGATGACCCCCTCTGGCTGGCGTGGAACTGAAAGGGGAAGGCTTCTGGCACTGGGATGCTGGGCACGCCAAGGATGTGCCAGGCATGCCATGGGAGGGCCAGGTGAGAAGGGCTCCCACAGCGGGAGCTGCTCATGGACTCTCATTGGAAAGCCCCTTCCCGCCTGGCCTGCCTTCGCCCTTAGGGTGGGGTCATAGGGCCAATGAAGTCCAGACTGCCAGGAGCCCGGGCTGGGAGGATGCGCCTCTCCCCTTCTCCCCTTGCTACCTGTGAGCTCCACATGATGGAAGGGCAGGAGGCCTCCAGGCTAAGCCAGGATGTGGTTTTCCTGGATCCAGGCCACCCCCAACCTTTTCCGGCAGTCTGAAGCTTCCCTGCCCCCAACTGCCAACATATACAGTATACAAGCTGGACCTCAAATATATGGGGGTGGGAGTGGGGTGGGGTGGTGCAGTCACCGCATGAGTTCTCCAGAGATTCCTGAAAAAAATGAGGGATCCAACCGGGGCGAAGGCTGAGAGAGAGAAAGAGAGAGAGAGAGAGAGAGAGAGAGAGGGGACCTGGCATCGCCTGTTTTCCTTTGCCCAGAGCAACTTTCCTCCCTCCTCCCTCTGCCCTTTGTCCTCTGGGTCATCGCGGCGTCCAGCAGCCCAGGGCCCACGAGGGGCTTCTGTGCTCAGGACGAGACTCCATTCTGCCTCCTGCTGAGTGGATTTTCTGGAACAATGAACTTGGACTCTCTCCCCCCCCCGTTTCCTGTTGCCATTGCAGGAGTGAGGGGGTGATTGCTCCTGATTCAGGGCCCCAACATCCCTTCTTTGGCCGCCCCGGCCGCCTTTTTAAAGATCCCGCCCCAGGATTGCCTGCCCAAGAGAGTCTGGTCGCTCCTGTGTCCCTCAGGCACCTGCAGCAGCCCTTCCTTTCCCTTCCGGAGAGAGCCAGGTTGCAGGATCTCTTCCGCTTTCAACCTTGGCAGCTATCCCACCCCCTGTTAAAGCACTGATGTTTGGCTGCAGGCATTTACACCTGGAAGTTCTGCTTAAGGTAGCCTTAGACCGGGCTGGGGTGGGGGTGGAGACTGGCTCTTTGCACTCTTAAGAAATGTGTGTATTCAAGAATTCACATTGAAATGCAACATTTAGTATTTAGCCTATAAGGTGCCCCTAAGTGGCTTGGGTCCAAGCAATCTCAAGGACCACATTCCCATGTCTGAGCCTGCCTGGCTGTTAAGATCATCAGGAGAGGCCCTTCTCTTGGTCCTGCTGGGGACATAGATGAGGGCCTTCTCTGTCCCTGCATGCAGACTGTGGGACTCCCTCCCATTGGAGGCCAGGGTGGTCCCATCATGGCTGTTCTTCTGCAAAAAGATAAAAGACCTTTCTCTTCAGGCTGGCATTCCTTGAATGAATGACTGGCTGCCTAAGTGGCTTTTTTAAAAATTAAAAAGGATGGTTGTGCATCACTGCTTTGAACATCTTCTGGTGTTCCTTTAGTTGAAACCTGGAGCTAGTCTCCGGGATAGCAAGTCCAAGCTTTAATGCCAATAACCTTGACACGCGCGATATTTCAAATGGTTGCTGTTTTATTTAGCTAAATAAAAGGCGTGATGGAAGTCATGCCTCCAAGTGTAGACAAGAACAAACCATGTCATGCAGAGGAAGACCTTGTGGTTACACAAGGGAGGAGAAATGGGTGGTTCGTGACCTATTCGCAGAAGGGGATGGGATTACAAAGGAATCAAAACTTTATCTGAGTGGTAAATCACAGAAGGGATAGGATTTTACAACAGGGCCTATAGACAGCAGTTATGGAAATACATGGTTACATTGTTGTATTGTTCTGACAAGAAAGCAGTTTATTATCTTGCAAAAGAGGTTAGAAGGTTGGGTGAAAAGGAGACTTCCAGGGTGAGAAGGAAATAATGTTGTTTGTATAAGAAAAAGGTCTTGTGCAGTGAGACCGCCCAGGTTCCCCAGTTCATTTTGCATAAGATTAGCTCCTGGTAGTCGCCTGGGGGAAGAGAGACAAAACCCAGCTGTGCTGCCTCTGTTGGCTTCTCTCCAGCCTAGAGTGGAAGGTGAGATAACCTGCCCTGGTGAAGGAAACGTGGCCAGCCGTATCCCTTTACAGAGACTCTCGGAGGGAACAAAAAACCATGGACATACATAGACGTGGATCGCTGGCTGTGTTTTATCCTTCCAAACTGCATTCCATGGGATCTGATCAAAGGTGTGCTCTTCCTGCACGTTCCATGCAGTGCTCTCGTGTACATGGTCAGTTCACTTTCATTTAGCATTTTTCTAGTGTGGCTTTTGTTTGATCCTTTTTAATATTTGTGTACTTGTTGTTTTTAGCTTTAAATACTGTATTTTAGCGTCTTCAGTGTGGAAGGGACGGTTGCTGTCCCTTCTCAGCCACACGAGACGCTGTTCCAAGACCTTCATACAGAGCACGTTACGAGACTGAAGGATGCCTAATGTAAATCTACTGTATTTTAATAGTGTAAGTTACCTTGAGTCCTTTTTAACGAGAAATGCGGGCAAAAAGATTTTAAATAAAAAATAAATACACAAATGTTTTTATGTTTTGTTTTTATTTTTCCCTGGGTATCTTAGCACTCTGGAACTGATTGTGCCAGTGTGGTGGCCAGGAGGCAGGAAGGGACTGGGGTACGTAGCCCCACCTGCCCTGTGAAGTGGCTGAGTCCCGGCCAGGAGGGCCTCTTCTCAGAAGCCGAGCCCCCCAACCCTTCCCTCTCAGGGGCTGTGGTGCTCAGGGGCTGTGGGGAGCACAGGAGGCTTCTTTCCACAGCGAGGGAGGTGTGTGTAGGCGCTTGGGGGCAAGGGTTTGGGTTAAGGCTCTGTGGCCGGCTCCCTTCCTCCTGCTTCCTCCACCTCTTCCCCGTCCCCCCAGGCCCGCAACTCCCACTCCAGCCGCTCCAGGCGCAAGGCCATCTTGAAAGCGCCGGCCTCCAGCCCCGCCAGGATGCGGGCCAGCTTTGTCTGCAGCGCATCCAGGCCTTCCTCGAGGGCTGCCGTCCGGCGCTCCTCCTCCTGCTGGCGCGCAATTTCCGCCGCCTCAGCGTTCAGGTCCAGCTTGTCCATCTTGAGCAGGATCTCGCGGCCCTTGGCCTCCAGCACGGCTTTGGCGTCAGGGAACTCAGACAGCACCTCCGCCAGGTCCTCCTTGGAGAGGCAGAAGAGGTCCGAGAAGCCGATGCTCTTGATGTTGGCCGTGCGACGGTTCCCAGACTTGTTTCCTGGGATGCGGAGGGAGAAGAGAA